AGGTATATTTGTAGCAATAGCCAAAAATACATTGTATGGGTCAAAATTATAGATTTTTCTTTTATGCCAAAAATCATTAGGATATTAAGTAAAGATCATGTTCCATGAAGATATTTTGTAAATTTCCTACAGTAAATATATCAGAACTTATTTTTTGATTAGTGATATGCATTGCTAAGAACTTCATTTGGACAACTATAAAGGCGATTTTCTCAATATTTAGATTTTTTTGCACCCTCAGATTCCAGATTTCAAATAGTTGTATCTCAGCCAAATATTGTCCTATCCTAACCAACCATACATCAATGTAAGCTTATTTATTCAGCTTCCATATGATGTATAAAACTTAATTTCAAAAAAATTACCGTTATGACTGCTTGTGTCTAGGGACACAAACAGGGGCGTAATGCACTCATTATTTCTGAGGGGCACGAGCCGGGGGGGTTTGGATGGGTGGGGGGTTTAGTGGCTCGTCATGCATGTCATGTGACGCACAGCAGCCACGATAGCACTGTATAACTGAATATAGGCTTTTTTTTAATATAGTTTTATTTTATTATTTTTTTTTTTTATTCGAAATATTCCCAAAATTGTTAACTATTTCATGAAATATCTCGATTCTCAAATGTGTAAGTACATTTTGCACCATTATAGATTATGTTAGTTCATATAATATATAATGGGCGATGGGCAAAGTAGCCTAATAGTGTAATCTATTAGCTACACATAAAACCCGTCTTTTTACTTAAGTACCAGATATGGGTGTCATGCCATAAAATATTTTTAATATGAGTGACTTTGTATTTAATGTAAATTTAATAAAAACATTGTAAGTTACTAATTAGAACACTTTCATTGTACAGAAAGAAAGCAAAGAACATTTACATTATCAAACAGCATTTTCATTCAGTCTAGCCAGAGTGCAAGCACTCTCTAAAACTCCCATTATAATCACTGAAGCTGTGTACAGTGTGAAATGAATATCTTACTTACATTCGTACGCACATCTGCACTTTGTTTCTGATGAGAGAATTTGCCAGAGAATTCAGTCAGTGAGCGAGTGAACAAAACAGCAGCATTTCAGCGATGACTCATCTGTACGCCTCTGATTGGTCATTGCATTCATAAGCTCAACAGAATTGTGTGTGATTGGTTATAATGAGAGAACACAGATATGAATTTAGCAGCTGGTGATGAATGTTCTAATCACACCGGTGTGATTGTATCAAATATAAAAATATTATTCGGCTATTTTTTTGTCTTTTGAAAGCTGAATTCAAAATCCACTTTGGCCCCCTCAGTTTGAATGGGCATGATGCCTCTGGTCACAAATGTACTACTGTACATCTACTGTGCATTTAGTAATTCTTTGTCATTTTTGTAGTTTATGTATAGTTGACCATTGTTATTTTTGTAGTTTGTTTGATGATTTTTTGATAATATACTATGGCATGAATAAATGCACCCAAGTGACAAATTTAGATTATAAAAACATTGTGAACATTGTTTTTAAAAATTACAGTCACACTTTAGTTTATGCTCCAATTCTCACTATTGACTATGACTTTTGCCTCAATAAAATCCTAATTTGCTGCTTATTAATAGTTAGTAAGGTAGTTGTTAGGTATGGGGATGAGTTTTAAGGATAAAGGGATCTAAAGTATGCTCATGCAGAATAAGACATTAATATGTGCTTTATAAGTACTAATAATAAATATGCTAGTAATATGCATGCTAGTTAATAGTGAGAATTGGTCCTTAATATAGTGTAAAAAATTACTAAAATGTTCACTCGTACTGCGTCTGCTAAGTGGCTATGGGGAAAACTCCTTTTTCTCCGATGACTGAAGCCTTTTTCAATAACGCAGTGTAACTGCACAGCCATTGGTTCATGCAGTGAATTAAAAACGAACCAACGAACCGCCTTCAGCGCCCGCAGCAGCGCCAGTCTTCCAGATCCCCTGCCGCCATCCAGCAATTTTAAAAGACCTACTTTTATGCGGCGTTGTTGCAAATGCCGCAACGTTTTTGTCGCTCGTGCAGGGCTCTCCTGCACGCTGCTGATAGTCACGGTGAGTGCATCTCATGCTTGGGGAAATCCCACGCTGAGGATGCACTCAAAGAGACGGAATGTACTCATTGCGAAGATATGAGTCTCTCCTCTCTGCATTTGCGGATAGCTTTCTTTTCAGAAAGCGATTCTGCCCCTCACGCCCTCCCATTTTCTTCCTCCCAGGAACCTGCAAGGAAAAAACAGTGGGGCAGAGGACCTCGGCGCCCGGAGACGAGCGATCTCATGCCGGCCCCGCCCCCGCGTGCCTCACTCTCTCCTCATAGAGAGGCTTCCCCCATCCTCTTCTCCCAGCCAGACCAGTGTCCCTCTGCGGCTGCGAGCGACCTGGTCTCATTTGGTGGGAGTGAGTGTGACGCGCTTCAGACATGGAGAAGCTGTCGGGCTCAACCAACGACCCCACCCCCCTGCCGTCTGTGGAGTCCAGCGATCCCAAGCAAGGCATGGACACCGAACTGTTCTGCGTCCTGTCAAAGGCTGTGGAAGAGCTGGCACTAGAGTGGTCTCCTCCAGACGAGCCCACTCGCAGCCGCCTGGATGAGTGGTTCTTGCCGGGGCGCCATCAGAGCTAGAGTGCTAGAGTGCTAGTGCTAGAGCGCCACCTGTGGCTGGCGCTGACGGAGATCAAGGATGTGGAGAAAGTCCCCTTCCTGGACTCCCTGGTCTCCCCCATTGGCCTCTTCGGACCCGCGGTTGAAGGATTCGCCGAGTGCTTCACTGCTGCACAGAAGTCGTCCCAGGCCATGCGACACTTCCTTCCGAAGCGCTCCAGCTCTACGGCTGCTCCCAAGTCAGCGCCGACTCAGCAGCCCATGAAGCCTGTGCCTCCAGCTGCCCAGACAGCTCCCAAGCCTGAGCCTTGTCAGCGCTCCCGCTCTGCCAGGCATTATCCGTTTCCTAAGCATCAGGGACCCCGGCCCAAGTTAGTGCTGGACCCTCAGTGCCTCAGGTGTCCTCCTGATCTGCGGGACAGGAAGAGGAGGGGGCCAAGTCTCGCTGCAGCCGGACCAGCCCCCAAGCAGCCTCTTTTGTGCCTCCAAGCACCCTGTTCAGTTCCGGGTGACGATGGCAGTGTGTTTGTGGTCAACTCCGTTGTGAACACTGGGCCCGTTCAAAAAGCGCCCACACAACCAACCGCTGTTATAGCGGGAATAATAAAACACAAACATTTTCAAAAAGAGAGCAAATTTCCTCTTCCACTTATCACGATTGTCGGGTCCCCACAAGGCGGCCCACCACCCGATCTAATCCAACCCCTTGCCACACAGACCGAGGCCTGGCAGGCCATCCCCGGAATGTCAGACTGGGTTTTGGGGATAATAAAATGAGGTTAAACACTTCGCTCGAAGACCTCCGCGGCGTGGTCCCCACCTTGGTTCAGAGCAAGGACGCACACGTCCTACACTCCAAGGTGATGAATTTACTGGTGAAAGGAGCCGTAGGAACGGTTCCCCCAGCTCAGAGCGAGTCAGGCTTTTACAGTCGCTACTTCCTCGTCCCCAAGAAGGATGATGGCCTTCGGCCCATTCTTGATTTCAGATAACTGAACCGCGCCCTTATGAAACGGCCGTTCAGGATGACTTTGAAACAGATCCTATCGCAAGTGTGCCCAGGGGACTGGTTCTTATCCCTGAATCTGAAAGACGCGTACATTTACATCCATATAGCCCCCCATCACAGACTATTCTTAAGGCATATCATGGCATATCAATACACGGCCCTTCCATTCGGACTGCCCCTGGCTCCTCGCACTTTTACGAAGTGCATGGACGCGACTCTTTCTCCTCTAAGACAGATGGGAATCCGCGTTCTGAATTACCTCGATGACTGGCTCGTCTTAGCCCAGTCAGAGGACAAGCTAATATCTCACAGATCCTTTCTCCTCAGTCACTTAGAATGCCTGAGGCTCAGGGTCAATTGTGCCAAGAGCAATCTGTCTCCCAGCCAATGGATACCGTTCCTGAGAGCAGTTTTCGGCTGGCCCAAATGAGGGCAACAGTCACGCCAGAACGTGCACTGGCTATACAGCAGCTCGCAGCCTCTTTCAAGTTAGGAGCCTCTCGCCCCCTCAAGATGTTTCAGAAGATGCTGGGTCTCATGGCCTCAGCATCTCCGGTGCTACAGCTGGGCCTGCTTCGTATGCGGCCCCTTCAGTGCTGGCTGAAACCACTAGTTCCGACCCACGCCTGGCGTCTCAGATGCCTTCGTGTCAAGGTGGACCAGGCCTGCGTGGCAGCTCTGGCCCCTTGGAAAGACACTCAGTGGATAGAACGGGGCGTGCCCCGGGGAATGGTCTACAGAAGGAAGGTGGTCTCGACAGATGCTTCGAACTTAGGTTGGGGAGCGCTGTGTGATGGCAAACTGGCTTTCGGCCACTGGTCGAAAGAGGAAGGTCGGCTGCACATCAACTGCCTGGAAATGCTGGCGGTATGTTTGGGCCTTCGCACCTTCTTGCCAGACCTGAGGGGACACCATGTCCTGGGCAGATCGGACAGCATGACGGTAGGGTCCTACATAAATCGCCAGGGCGGACTCTCCTCAAAGCGCCTCTTTATTCTAGTAGAGCTCCTCTTGGAATGGGCTCAGATCAACTTGCGTTTGCTGAGAGCAACGCATGTGCAGGGAAAGTTGAACCAAGGAGCGGATATGCTGTCTCGGAGCAATGTCCACTCAGAAGAGTGGATGCTCCACCCACAAACAGTTCAGAAAATCTGGGAGATCTTTGGCAAGGTGGAGGTCAACCTCTTCGCCTCAAAAGACAGCTCTCATTACCCAACTTATTTCTCGAAGGACATGGACGTGTTGGCCCAAAACTGGCCCAACCTCCTCCTTTACGCTTTTCCCCCGATTGCCCTGATCCCACAGGTAATCAGACGAATCAAGGAGCAAGAGCACTAGGTTCTGTTAGTAGACCCGCTCTGGAGGAACCTTGTAGCAGCTCCGTGGCCCATTCCCTTGAGACGGGACCTCCTGTCTCAGGCGAACAGAACGATATAGCATCCCCAGCCTGAGCTGTGGGTTCTGCACCTTTGGCCTCTCGATGGGAGCCCGCGAACCTCCCTGAGAGCGTACTAAATACAATCTCTCAAGCTAGAGCACCGTCTACGATATGCATCTACGCCCTTAAATGGTCGGTCTTCTCCACCTGGTGCATGACCCGCAGCAAAGACCCAGCTTCCTGTGACATATCTCTGATATTGTCCTTCCTGCAAGAGCTGTTGGCAAGGGCCGTTCCCCTTTCACTCTCAAGGTCTATGTAGCAGCTATAGCAGCCTATCACGCTCCTTTTGCTGGCCAATCAGTGGGCAGGAACAATTTGGTTGTTCGCTTATTGAAGGGGTCTAGGAGGCTTAACCCGCCTCGCCCAATCACAGTCCCGACATGGGATCTGTCCAAATGGATAGTTGATGCCATTGCGCTAGCATACCCCTCATTTGGCCTTCACTGCCCCATGAGAGTAAGAGCCCACTTGACTAGAGGTGTGGCCTCGTCTTGGGCGTGGTCTAGCGGTGTGTCCATTGCAGAGATCTGTGTGGTGGCCGGCTGGGCCTCGCCGTCTACATTTGCCAGGTTCTATAATCTGGACGTCCCAGTCTTACAGGTCCGGGTCCTTTCTGTATAATGGGCTCATTCGTGTCTCAGGGCAAACCAGTGCTTAGGCTTTGCCTTCCTTCTTGTACGCTCTTGGCCCTCACTGAGTGCCGAGGCTGTACAAAATTCTCTTGGAACGATTACTCTAGGCCAGGCCGACCTCAGTGAGTTTGGCCCTATTGCCTCCTGCGGGGCTTTCCCTGCAAATTATTTAGTCGCTCTGGGCCCCTTGTGGTGCTTAAGGCAAGTTTAATTATGAGTCGTTCCTCTAGCATAGCACAGCGGGATTGTACTGGTTCCCCATAACGTCTTAGCAGACGCAGTATCGATAGGGAATGTACTCAGTTACTAATGTAACCTCGGTTCCCTGAGATATGGGAACGAGTACTGCGTAACTGGCCGTGTTATGTAGCTGCACGTCGCTTCATTCGAAATAACCTGAGGATCCTATGGCAATATGCCCGCTTATATAGCCAGATGGCCCCGCCCATTCTGGCTGGCTTCGTCGCGTAAGTTAGTAACCGAGTACGTATTTTTATTGTGATTGTAAGTTTATTTAAAACTTAGGAAAAAAAATCTTAAAATATATTTCTAACTTTATTTTCACCCAAAATATAACATTATTTGAGTGTTTATTTTTACTATTCTAAGAGTGTTTTCTCTCAACATTGAGAGTGTTCATTAACTACAAATAACATCATAAGGACGCTTTGAGAATGTTGATCTCATAACATTTTCTCTCAACACTACAAGAACATTCATTGAGTAAAAATAACATCATAAAGCCATTCAAAGAATGTTGTTCTAAGAATGCTTTCTCTCTACATTATGAGAATGTATATCAAACATTAAAGAATGTTCCATAAACATTACTAAATAATCTCTTAAAATATGTTAGTGGAACTTGTGGGAATGTTCCCTGTTATGTGCACACACACCTTCCTGCGGTGAGATGGCACTATGAAGAAGGTCTCGATGTCATGTTTGAGCAGGAACGAGTGTCTCTCGCGGCCGTTTCCCGGCTCCACCTCGTAATTTCCATTTAGACACTCCAGCGTGGCGCGAGTGATGTGCACCTTCCTGTAGAACAAGCAGACGAGAGGAGAAACAGCTCTCAAACAGCTCAGGGTTCTGGAGAGGAGTGTGATGCTGATTGCTTGAGCTCCTCACCCTGGCAGTCCTCCAGCCTCCATCACGTTGGCCAGCGTCACGTCGTTGGACCACACGTCATACTGCCACTTTCTGAGGCCCAACACGCCACAGAGCACCCTTCCCGTGTGCAGACCCACACGCATGTTCAGATCCACCTCTGTAGCTTCAGCCACCGACCTGAAGAACACAATCACGCTCAACAGCTCAGTGTCTGAGTCACCCATAATCAATAAATGAAGATTTACATGAAAAGTGGTTTAAAGAGCCATAAGTCAAACTGTTTACACTAACTGTCAAAAGTCTGGAATAATTCAGATTTTTTTACATGTTTTAAAAGAAGTCTCTTCTGCTCACCAAGGCTGCATTTATTTGATCAAAGATACAGTAGAAACAGTAATACTGTAAAATATTATTATAATTGAAAATAACTTTTTTTCTGATTATTGTCAATGTTGAAAATAGTTGTGCTGCCGAATATTTTTGTGGAAACCGTGATGCATTTGATTTTTTTAGGATTCACAGATGAATAGAAAGTTCAAAAGAACAGCATTTATTTGAAATATAAATATTTTGTAACACTGTAAATGTATTTACTGTCACTTTTGATCAATTTAATGCATCCTTGATTAACTAAAAAAAAAAAAAGAAGAAAAAAATCTTTTGAATGGAAATGTATCATGGTTTCCACAAAAATATTGTGCAGCACAACAGTTTTCAACATTGATAATAATCAGAAATGTTTCTTGAGCAGCAAATCAGCATATTAGAATGATTTCTGAAGATCATGTGACACTGAAGACTGCAGTAATGATGCTGAAAATACAGCTGCGCATCACAGAAATACATTACAGTTTAACAGAGATTCACATAGAAAACAGCTGTTTGAAATTGAAATAATATTTCACAATATTACTGTTTTTACTGTATTTTTAATCAAATAAATGCAGCCTTGACAAGCGGAAGGGACTTCTTTCAGAAACATTTAACCTTAATTATTCCAGACTTTTGGCCAGTTGTGTATATTGTAATATGTTTATGTCTAACTGTAACCAGTAGGTGGTTCTGCACATATACAATTTTGTGTGATAACTCCAGAAGTTGCAGAGTTTCACCTTTTTGTTGCTTTGCCATCGGATTTGTTGTTGGGTTAGAGAATAACTCTAAAGTATATCAAAATAGTTATGAATAAAATATGCAAAGAGTTCCTGGAGGATAAAGTGACACTGCTCTTCTAAATCATGACTGTAGTGATTTGAAATAAAAATCAAATCCACAAACAGATGTGTTGTGGCTAAAAAAAAAAAATCTTCATCAGGGATAGTTCACCCAAAATAATTTGCTCACCCTCATTTTGTTGCACTGTTTATTATACAACATATCCCTTCAGAAGACATTCAGGTAGGTGTGAAGGATGACAGAAGGATCACATTTGGGTGAACTAACACTTTAAGAAGTTAAAAGCCAAATAAATAAATAAAAATAAAATAAAATTTTAAGTAAGACATGTTGCTGAAGTTTTATTTCAAAAGTTCAGAGTTTCATTGACATATCAGAAATCTTTCAACAGCTTTTGTCCACACGGGTCTGATGATGATTTGGTGAAGATTCAATGATCACTCAAGGAAAAGTATATAACGTTCATAATCATAATTCAGATGTATGACTGAAAGGAGCCAGAACAATCCTCAGCACATATCCTCTCAGGAGTGACTGGGGAAGCAGTGCTGGATATAGTACACACTAGAGTGAAGCGTGTGTGACTGAACACCAGATTTACAGAGGAACTCATCATCCAGCTGCCCTTGAGAAGAGCCTTCATCAGCGGCTCACACTCACGTGATGGTGTCGATCATGTCCAGACCCATCTCCACGCAGCAGTGAGCGTGATCCGTCTTGGGCTGCGTCAGGCCAGACACACAGTAGTAGCAGTCGCCCAGAATCTTGATCCGCCGGCAGTGATTCTCCTGCAGATGAACAGAGGAGGAGGAAAAGCTTTACAACAGCAACTCTGCATGAAGTATGAGACCTGTTTCACACCGCCAGCGTCAGAAAATATAAGCATTGTCATGTGACTTTCTGACAACACAGTGATTTGAGTATAAATGTGACCCTGCAGCACAAAAGCAGTCATAAGTCGCTGGGGTATATTTGTAGCAATAGCCAACAATACATTGTATAGGTCAAAATTATACATTTTTCTATGGATATCAATATTGTCCTATCCTAACAAACCATACATCAATGGAAAGCTTATTTATTTATTGATTGATGTATAAACCGATTGAGGTATTTATTGATGTATAAATCTCAATTTTAAAAAATTGACCCTTATGACAGGTTTTGTGGTCCAGGATCACAAATGTTCATTCACTCTGCATATATCTGTGCTTTTAAAGCCTCTGGACTATTGGAAGTTAAGTCTTGGGTTCCTTGTGCAGGGTTCATATGAGCGTAGTTTGACAGTTGGTTTGAGTCCTGCAGTACGAGTTTAACACAGTCTAGTGCTGGAATCTATCTTTGATATGATACCTTGTAAAATATCAATATTCAATACCATTTTTGATACTGCGGTGAAAAGCTGCTATAACATTAAGGCCATAAAATCTGAAGAGTATAAGACATTTCTGTACATTTTAAAGTTAAAAGCAGGCCAACCTGGTGCAATCTGAAGTGATCTCAGTCTTTCAGTCCACATCACATTCACATTAGTGATTTTAGGAAGTCAAATAATTTAAATATAATAATAAATATAGTAATAAATATTAATAAATAATCTAGTATTGTTGTTATTACTATTATTATCTCTAAGACAGAAATGTTTTATAATACAACTTCCCTTTAAAATAAAAATAATATTTCATAACAGTAGAAACATTACAATACTTATGTCTTAATTTCTTTATTTGCAAGAGTTAAAGCCTTTTAATTTTGGCAGAAACCTGCAGGGAATAATTAAAGTTTCTGTGACAACAGGAATACAGACACATCATCTGTTGAATATTATGTGAATGTGAAAATAAAGCGCTGTCTAAACACAGCTGGTATCGGTGCATCGATACTGTGGAAAAGTGTTATTGAACTTTCAAATATTTCAGTACTGATTTGTATCTAAAAATCTATATTTTTGACAAGGCTTCTGCAGTCTCACAGACGCTAAATCAGTGAAGCACAGTAAATCTCTCATTCACACCATGTCTGGGGCTGGTTCATTATAACGGAAGAGCTCTAGCTCTGTTCTTTCACTTGAAGTGTTTATTAGGTGTTACACAATCTACATTACAATCCAGTCCAAAATAAACCCAGCGCTTTTTACTTGATTTCTGCCGCTGAAGTTTTCATTTTCAGACTCATCAGGATGGTTGTCATTACTGAAAATGCTACAGACAGATCTGTTGAGTTCTGCAGTCCTCATACTGCATCTGCTGCTTTTCTCCAGTGCTTTCTCTTTATATCTGAGACTGGTTTAATGTGTTGAACATGTAGATTCTGTAGTTTCACTGGCTTACATTAATAGCACTTCCTTGTCCATATTCACATTAAAACAGTGCAATGCAATGCATGCAATTAGCAAATGCTTTTATCCAAAGTGACTCACAAAAGAGGAACAAAGCAATTCATCAAATAGTCAACAATAATCGTAATACATAATGCAATAGTCGTAATGCATAATTTTAGACAATAGATTAGAAAGCAACTTTGAGTCCCACAGGTCTTGTGTATGCTTACTGAAGTGGCCTCATGAAACACATCCTCACTCTAATCCTGATCCATAACTGATCCAGGGTCAGCTACAATCACAACTGCTTTCCCACAATGCCAAGTCAGTGAGTCTGCACGTCACACCATATAAACACTTAATTGGATCAAACTGAACCTCCTGAAGTGGTTTTGCCCAATGAAGAGCGTTCCACTCCACAATCCTCTTACATGTCTTATTACTGGCATCTTTCCCACCACTCGATTAAGATCGGTCCCTCTCCTGTCAAAACTGTGTTCAGGCAGCTCTCTCTTTTTTTCTTTCATAAGACATTCAGGAGAAGAGGAAAGGAGCAGCTAAAACTCTGCAGCTGGCATAAGTTCACACCAAAACATCATACTAGACCTGTCCACTGGCTTCAACAGAGGGAATCATAAGATGCTTCTTGCTGTCAGAGGATCTATAGTTCACTGACACAAGCAAATCCTTTGAGGGGTTGTTGAGGCAGAGGGTAAACACTGGGGTGCCACAGGGTTCAGTGCTTGGTCCCCTCCAATTGTCCATATACACAACCTCTACTGCCTCTATACAGATGATACACAGCTGTACCTGTCATTATAGCTTTCAAACCCATCATCTCATCTCTGCGTGACCTTCAGGCATCTAGGACTGAGTAAATGAGATCACCTCGAATAACCATTATAACCAGGTCAAAACGACGCCTACTACAACATTAACACTTTCTGTTCCTGCAAAACTCCACCAGATCTGCTGAGACCATCACAACTCTCTAGAGCCATCTGAAGATACTCCTCTTCCAGAGGCAATTAATTCACCCACAACAACCAAAAATACAGGCACTGCTCATGTTTTATATTTCCAAAGCAACCTGCTACGTCCTTCCTGTTCTATTCACTTCTGCACTAGTTCTGGTTTGTCGTGGAACTACAATAATATGGTTCTGTTAATACTGTTGACATCTCTAGGATAAATTGCCTCTGTTTTTCCTCATTCATAAGTGTGTGTTTGTTTTTTCAATTTAGATTATATGGACGAGCATGTGTGAGATTCAGTCCAAACAGAAGGAGTATGAGTGGATCAAATGAAACATGTGAACAAACTGACCCTGCAACGAAACAAACTCACACCACAGATCGACAATCACACTGAAACACTGAGCGCAGACCTGCTGAAAGACCTTCTGACGCTGACAGAAACATGTCTGTAATCCATGGATTAAAGGATTTCATAGGCACATGTGAATGTAAGCTATTCTAATGTCTAGATTACATCGAGATATATCTACATGTTTACTTGAACAGGCACATGTCTTCACATTAAAGCACCTTCACCTTCACAAACCCTGATGAAGACAGACAGGAGAGGTTTAACCGGTGTGAGCATGCAAGAGACTGAAAACGACCCTGATTGAACTCGTCCATGAGCAAGCTGACAATACTCACGCAATGAATCACCCTGATATTTACCTAAAACATCACTAAAGAATATTCAGAAAAAACATCACCAAGTCAGAAAATATCTGACATTCCAATATTATTTTATATATTTAAAATGAAGAAAAAAAAACTCTGCTATTTCAATACTTTTATAATGAACAGTAGGCTATATATGCCAAAAGAAGCCCACATTCTATTGGGTCAAAAACGAAAAAGTTTACTGAAAGTGAGCGTATGACCTTCCTCAGTGCTTTACTGTTATATAAATGAAAAAATAACTAAACCTTTAACTGAAATTAACTAAAAAAACAAAAACAGAAAATATTAAAATAAAATCTGTTTAAAAATGTATATATATTAGAAATATTACCAAAAATAATAGTATATCAATAAAAGTAAAATAGCACGTGTGTGCATAAACAAAATCATATTGACAAATAATTCATAAACCCCCAATTTTTTATTTATTTATTTTTTGGAAACACTTAAAGTTCATTTATAAATAACATTTTAATTGTTCTTTTGAATAATGATATGTGACCCTGGAGCACAAAACCACTCATAAGGGTCAATTTTTCAAAATTGAGATTTATGCATCATCTGAAACCTAAATAAATAAGCTTTCCATTGATGTATGGTTTGTTAGGATAGGACAATATTTGGCCGAGATACAGCTATTTGAAAATAAAGATACTGTATGCTTGACAAGATGTTTGTGAAGCTCTTTCACACATATAACTTGATGGTTTGATGGAACTCCTGAGGGATCAGCCTAACATGATCCCACCGCTGTCATAATTTCATCTTTATCACATATAACTCTCTGATTATGCATAACTCACACCTGTCCTCCTGTTGCTGTTGCCGGGGTGTGAAGTCACCATAGCAACAGGCGTGAACCAATGAGAGCGACTCACCGTGGCGAGCTCGTCAAACTTGCCGAAGAGCTCGTTGAGGAGTTTAACGAGCTCCTGCGCCGTGCACTGCGACGCCAGACTCGTGAAGCCCACGATATCCGCGAACAGAATACTGCAGGAAAAAACACACGGAAAATCATTAGACCCTTCCTAACACTTCACATGAGGAAACACAAAGACTTGTATTTGCTCTCTTAAGAATCTGCTGTTTGTCCATCAGGAGCTCAGACTAAAAGAGATGTATACTGTATTTATACTCTATGTGTGCTGCTTTATTTGAATCTGGGTGTCAGAGTTTTATTGATTGCTCCATCTGATTAAGATTTCAGTGAATTATGTACGAAGTGAACTGTCAGGAGACATCAGCTCAGGTCTGTGTGAAGGTTCAGTCACAGAGGGTCTGTCCCGGAATAAATGATGTAAACTTCATTAAATATGAGGCAAATTCAATTTTAACTGTAAAGCAGCTCTACAGAGGACAAGAGTCATTATTCAGATCCAGTTAGATGAGCGTTGATTCAGTTCAGTTTAATATCAGAGTAAATGTTGAAAAATTAACAAATTATGGTCTTATACAACGAATTCATGTTTTAAGTATGAACTCACTTCATTTTATTTTTTTATTCTTTTCTCAGAAAACAAAAGTTAATATGAACAGATTTAAGCAAGACTTAAGTAATTTTCCCGCGTTTTCACAGACAAGGCTTTAGTCTAAATGTAAGTCTGAGCTGTTTCAACTGAAAGAAACTTGCACTGATTGATCTTAAAATATATCAGTGCCTTTGTTTTGTCTGAAGATGCACACCAGAGATGTTTTTATCAAAGGCACTTTTATAAAAATTACTTATATGTCCTAATTGAACTATGGTCTGATCCTGGCTTGTCTAAGCCCTGTTTGTGCAAATATATCTTGATTTAATAATGTTGATATATTTGTACGTGAAAATAAGACAAGTATGTGTGTGTGTGTGTGTGTGGGCGCATGTGAACACTGAGACGCTGTCATAGCGCAGATGTCAATATAACCACGCTGCCATAAATTGAGTTTGCTGTGAATGTTTGAATGCGGCTCCATCTGTGACAGAGATCACGCAGAGGACGAGCAGAATCCTTCAGTCAATCAAGATGCCGAGTGACAGATCATGTGATCGCTAAAGTGTTTGAGTGATTGTTAACCTGTTGCTATGTGGTTGCTAGGGTGTTATGAGTGTATCTGATCAGTTAGTGTAAAAGTTCAATATTGTCTAAAAGGTTTGTTATCAGTCTGAACAAATAAAGAGTCATGATGTCTGTAGTTCCTTATGGTAAATGAGTGCAGTGCACAATTGTTATATATTATATACTGTACATATTATATACTGTACATAACACTTGTCAAAAATGCTGATAAATATTAGTTGATAGTTTTTCAGTGAAATCAGTGGGCTCTGATCACAGGTCCAGAACCTGATGGAGAGCACCCGTCTTATATTCCAGCAGGAGCGTCTCTGATCTGCTCCAGAAATATCTCTCAGCACGAGCATTACGCAACACTCTTTAGTGTCCATAGCAGTAAATCCCTACTGAGGCTTAATCTGAGGGCCGGTGAAGGTGTCTCAGTAACGTCTCAACATACGCACACACACACACACACACACACTCACAGTCTCACACACACACACACATGCACTCACACACACACACACACACTCACACACTCA